TTTTTTTTTGGGTAGGTCATGGGGCTTGAACTCTGAGCCTGAGTGCTGTCCCTCAGCTCTTCAGCTCAAGGTGAGCGCTCTACCACTTGAGCTATAGCACCACTTCTGGTTTTCTGGTGGTTTATTGGAGATCCTCAGATCTAGCCTCCTGAGTAGCTAGGATTACAGGTGGGAGCCATTGGTGCCTGGCTCCTGTGAACTTTTTACTTGAGTCATCCTCCGTCTGCAGTCCTCTAGTTCTGTCTACTGAGAAGCTAGGATTATACCTGGCAGTTTTTATACATCTTCTGATGCACATATTATGCTTGCCTAGCATGCATGAAGCCCTGGGCTCAATTCCTCAGTACCACATAAAAAGCGAGAGGAAGTGGCGCTGTGCTCAAGCAGTAGTAGAGCGCTCGCCTTGAGCTGAAGAGTGTGAGGACAGCGCCCAAGCCCAGAGTTCAAGCCCCACGACCAACAACAACAACAAAAATTCTATCTCTCACAGAAAGAAAAAGCTAGAAATGGTGCTGTGGCTCAAGTGGTAGAGTGATAGCCTTGAGCTCAGAGAGGCTCAGGGACAGTACCCAGGCTCTGAGTTCAAGCCCCAGAACTGGCAAAAACAGCAACGAAAAAGCCAAGTGATAGCATGAGGCTGAGTTTAAGTCCCGGTCCTAGCACAACAGCTACCATGACAAAAAATAGAGAAAAGTGTCAAGCAGGAAAGTAACAAACCTTTCTGTTTAAATACTCTCACAATTAACATTAATGTTTTGCATCTTTCCTTTCTAATCATAGACTTAAAGGAATTTTAATTCTTCTACTGAGTTCTAGCTTTTCTGTCAGTTTGCCAGGCAGTTTAGCAGAAATCAGCCACTGACCTTTGCATGGTTACGCCGATACATCAAATGGCCTTTACTTCCACCTAAAAATATTAAGGACCTTATGGATCTTGAAGCTGTCCATGATGTTTTGGATCTTTACCTGTGGCTGAGGTACCACACTTTTTCCTTTATATGCTCTAATTTTATTAGTAGGGCAAACTAGGGTTTTATGTCCTTTCAACTAGGTACATATTTGCAAGTAAAGCATTTTCTTTTTTTTTTTTTAGTATAGGTAGGAACAAAAGCTTTATTTCTCTCCCATGAAGAGCACAGTTACAATCTGCAGGGGAAGTAATAGGTTAGGGAATCCACAGGGACCAGCCTGGGAAGTATTCTCAACTGCCCCTGTCCTCTGTAGGACACAGGTATATTGAATGGTTAATCAAAAGCAGAATATGGAGAGACAGTTAACTAATCATATGCCAGTCTCCACCTCTTCAGGATAGGATGGAACTGAACAGAGTGACCTGAAATTTATTAACTTAATCCCAGAGGTGGGGGGCTCCTTCAATCATATGTTCCCATCCAATACCCTGAACTGACTAGTCCCATGTTTGGAGTTTGGCAGAAAGCATTTAAGTTTTAACTTATACTCATTCCAAAAAAAGCCTTCAGGAGTCTTTGAGATTCCTTTTCAGATAGCCAAGTGAAAGGTTCCAACCTTGTACTTAGAGTGATTCTTAAACCAAAAGCATCACTGCCACCTTGGAACTTTATAGAACTGAAGAATCAAAGGCCCCTCCCAGACTTTTTTTGTTGTTGTTGGTCGTGGGGCCTGAACTCTGGGCCTGGGCGCTGTCCCTCAGCTCTTCAGCTCAAGGCTAGCACTCTACCACTTGAGCCACAGCGCCATTTCCAGCTTTTTTTGCTTATGTGGTGCTGAGGAATTGAACCCAGGATCTCATGCATGCAAGGCAAGCACTCTACCATGAGCCACCTTCCCAGCCCTCTTCCCAGACTTAATTATATTGTACATTAACAAGCTCTTCAGGCTATTGACTTGTACCTTAAAATTTGAGAACCTGTGCTTTGGAGAGGCTTCTTAAAGGAGGGGCATGGCCCCCTTGGAGATCATATCACAATTACCTGAGATAGAGCACTCACCCACTCTATTAATTAATCCTCAGATGTGTTAGGGAAAAAATACAGGTTAGCCATTGGACAGAGTGTGCAGAAAGAATGTTTGGAATCTTAGTAGTGTCAAAAATGTAGGTATATTGCTGAGTTCCTTCAAAGCTGTTACTATAATGTATTGTGTCCTTTTCCCAGCTACCGATTTATGGATATGTTTCCAGATGGCAGCGTTGTTCGAGACCTCCAGAAAGAACTAGATAAGATTATCCAAGATGGTGTGCACAACATCACCAAACTGATTAAAATCTCTGAGTCACGGAAGCTATTGAATTTGGAGAGCTTGTCGGGAACCTTGAAGAACCAATCAAGAAGGTTACGCAGCACCAAAACTACAGTAGGCAAAGCTGCTGAGCCTCCCAGCACCAGTGCCAGCGAGATCTCCCTGGCTTCCAGGCTGGTGAAACAAGGACTCCTCACTCCAGACATGCTGAAGCAGCTTGAGAAAGAGTGGCTGACTCAGCAAACTGAACAGAATAAAGAAAGAACTGAGCCTGGACTTAACTCAAAAGGGTCAAGAAGGAAGAAGAAGGAACCCAATTCTGAATAGATTTTTTTGTTTTTTAGTTTTTACAAATAAAAAAACTTTTAAATCCTTTTGCTCATAGGAATTACTGCCTGCGATAGTATTGTGCATTTTATACTAGTTTTTTTTTCACAGAAAAATGAACCTTTAAGGATGATTAAACTGAGCTGGACACTGATTGTTCTTGCCTATGATCCTAGCTACTCAAGAGGCTAAGATCTGAGGATGGCAGTTTGAAGCCAGGCTGGGCAGACAAACCTGTAAGACTTTTTTCTCCTAATAATGGGTAAAAAGCTGGAAGTAGAGGTTTGGTGGTACAGCTCCAGTTGGATCAAAAAAGCCAAATGAGCTTAAAGCCCTGAGTTCAAGACTAGGACATGTATACATACATTCAAAAAATGTGACTAGGGCCTGGGAATGTGGCTTAGTGGTTGAGTGCATACTTAACATGCATGAAACCCTGGGTTGAATTCCTCAGCACCACATAAATAGCAAAAGCCAGAAGTGGTGCTGTGGCTCAAGTGGTAGAGTGCTAGCCTTGAGCAAAAGAAGCCCAGGGAGGGCTGGGAAGGTGGCTCAGTGGTAGAGCGCTTGCCTTGCATGCCTGAGGCCCTGGGTTCGATTCCCCAGCACCACATAAGCAAAAAGAAAAAAGCCGGAAATGGCACTATGGCTCAAGTGGTAGAGCGCTAGCCTTGAGCTGAAACGCTGAGGGACAGCGCCCAGGCCCAGAGTTCAGACCTCATGACCAGACCCAAAAAAAAAAAAAGCCCAGGGACAGTGACTAGGCCCTGAGTTCAAGCCCCAGGACTGGCACATACACACACAAAAAAATGTAACCAAACTACTCTTCCAACATTAAAAAGATACTGCAATGGTGAGCCACTGGTGGCTCATGCCTGTAACCCTAGCTACTCAGGTTGAGATCTGAGGATCATGGTTTGAAGCCTTCCAGGTTTCAAAGGAAAGTCCAGGAGACTCTTCTCTGCATTAAACTACCAAAAAGCTAGAAGTGGGGCTGTGGTTCAAGTGGTAGAATGCTAGCCTTGAAGAAAAAAGCTCAGAGATAGTGCCCAGGCCCTAAGTTCAAGCCCCAGCACTAACACCAAAAAACAAACAAAAAGGAATCTAAATCTAAGGACCAGAGACCAGAGGAATTCACCTATTATACTGATGCACTCTAGCAGACATTCTTATCAAGGAAAAAATAAATTTAAAAATATTTTTTAGGGCGGGCAAGGTGGCTCAGTGGTGGAGTGCTTGCCTTGCATGCATGAGGCCCTGGGTTTGATTCCTCCAGCACCACATAAACAGAAAAGCTGGAAGTGGCATTGTGGCTCAAGTGGTAAAGTGCCAGCCTTGAGAGGAAGAGCTGAGGGACAGTGCCCCGGCCCAGAGTTCAGGCCCTATGACTGACAAAAATAAATAAATATGTATATGAAAGAGCATTGTTTTAGAGATTTTATTCATGTAAAATAGTACTAAGACACTGTACTTCCATGCTTATAAGCATGGAAATGAAATCGGTTTGGTAAGTTGGACGCATTTCCTGCTCCGTGGATGGAATTCTTAGGCAAAAATTGGTCTGTTGTACTCATGTATCAGAGGCTACTTTAAGAGCTGAAGAGACACCCTCATGGAGCTCCTATTTTGGTAGGGGAGACAAGTTAACAAGTTAAATACTGCAGCTACTTGATAAGAAAGGTGTCTCTCATTCACTGCTGTATCTAGTGTCTGGATTATAGCAAAGCACATACAGTCTTGGAATGAATGGATAGGATTGTAGAGGTAAATGGTAGAAGTAGACTAAGGAGAGTGATAAGTAGTACAGTGAGCTGTTTTCCATGGCATGGTCATCCCTGTCCAAAGGTCAGCCTGATGAATATAGTGACCTCTATTTGTCCAACAAGGTTTTGAACCCTGGTTAGGAAAAACAGGTAACAAGAGTTAAAAGGTGTCAGCTTTGGTGTTGGACAGCCTTTCTATCACTGGTAGCCTTATAACCTTGTCCTCATTGGCCTTGGTCTCTGCCTCTGAAGGTGGACAATTTGTGTCTCCTCAGTTCTTGGAGAGATTAAATAGGATGGTGTACTTACTTAGTCCATGGTCTGGTACACAAAGTGTTGTATAAATGAACCAGAAGGTTTAGGTCTATTCTGGCTGTGAAATGAACTCTCAGGTCATACCAAAAGCTGAGTTAATTCTAGCAACTGTTAGATTGAGGCTGACTCCTCCAAAGGAGAGATTACATGTGATTTGGATCAAATTGGACCAAAGAACAGAGCCAAATTTGCCAAGATTTTTTCCTTTGTTAGTTCAGAATAAGGATGACATTTCCTCTAATGGTGATTAGTCTTTATTCTTTAGACCTTGCTTTTGTGGGCATAAAGGCTGAACAGGTGGAACTGACTGTTTCCCTTGGCCATGGATAAAGGGTGGTGAAGTTCCAAGAAGGCTGTACTTCATTTGCTACCCTCTATTCAGACAACTCCGGCTTCTGGAATTAGCTGTTGTCAGGCTGAGGCTGTGACTCAGCAATAGAGTGCTTGTCTAGTATGAGCAAGGACCTAGATTTGATACCTAGCAAAAGACTTGCTTTTCTCTGTGACTTACAAAATAACAGGCAGCCATTCTTGCCCAGGTAGTCTCACAAAATGCCCATAAATGGAACTGGAGAGCAGATTTTGTCCCATTATATCTAAGACATATGACTTTAAGGAGTATTATTGTTCATTCTCCCTTTTTTTTTCAGTTGGGGGCTGGAGTTGGTGAAATGGGAAAAGAAACGAAGCTCTTACAAACTTGGGCAAGTTAAAAGTTTGTAAAGCCTCAGGTAAGGGAGGTGGTGGTAGAGCTATAATGGAAAGCTGCTTGAGCACTTAGCTAAAGAATGTTGAGGAACAGTGATAAATAGTTTGCTCTTTAACCCTTTGGGGACAGGAGGGCAGTGAGGTTAAGCAGAAGATACAAAAACAAGATAACCTCTGGGGAGACAAAACAGGAAAAACAGAACTGGAGTGACCCTGGATATATCGGCGGTGGGCTTAAAATTGTAATCATGCAAGCAGCTTTGCCTTCTGTATCTGTGTAAGTTTGACATGTCATCCTTTGGGTGGGCTCTGCTGGTTTACTTCCAGTTATATATTGCATTATAGTTATGCTTTTCCCTTTTCTAAAACCCAGCACTTCTCCCACCCCAATGTGGTCTTCTAATAGGTTTTGAAATGCCTGCCTGAAAGCTCATTGTGGATTGGTGTGATCAATGTGAAGTGGGGCTGAGGAGGCTCACTTCAGATCTGTCACTATGCACTTGGATAACTTCAAGAAATGTGGTTAGAACATAATTGGCCAGCAGTAATAGCCAATGATTTTAATTATTTGTATATTAATTATATCTGTGGAAGAGTACAAAGCTACAAATGGGCACTGGAACATTTTTCCAGTAGCATTGGAAAAATGACTTACTATGAATCACAGATAGACAAAATGATCATCACATACTATAAAAGTTTCTTGTGCCCAGAACCAGGACTTTTAATTCTAATGCAGCCGTTCTGTGTGTGTCAAACTCAAGCCTATTATGATAAAATGAAAAGTCGCAGTTTCCTACTACTGGCAAATGAGTCATGCTGAGATACTCTTCCTCTTTCAGAGCTTTAGAATATAATTAACCTGAACAGAGATTGTAATGTTTATACACATTTCTGGGTGATTACTGTTCTCTAAAACATCTATCATTGAAGACAGTGGGGCAGTTTTATACACAATTGAAAAATAATAGCTGCCTTTATGAGCAAAATAATGTTAGAGAAAAAAAACTTTTTTTTTTTTTTTTTGTAAAGCAACCCATGATCCTCCATTCTTTTGTTTGATTGGTTGTCGGTCCTGGGGCTTGAACTTAGAGCCTACGTGCCCTGAGCACTTTTGCTCAATGCTAGCAGTGCTACCACTTGGAGCCACAGAACCACTTTCACTTTTCTGGTGGTTAATTGGAGATAGAGTCTCAAACACCTGCCCAGGTTGGCTTTGAACCTTGATCCTCAGATCTCAGCCTCCTGAGTAGCTAGGATTATAAGCATAAGCCACCAGTTCCTGCCATGCTTTTGTTTTTTGCTTTTTTGTTTTTTTGTTTTGCCAGTCCTGGGGCTTGAACTCAGGGCCTGGGCACTGTCCCTAAGCTTCTTTTGTTCAAGGCTCACACTCTACCACTTGAGCCACAGAGGCACTTCTGGGTTTTTTTTTTTTTTTTTTTTTTTGTGGTGCTGAGGAATTGATCCCAGGGCTTCACGCATGCTAGGCAAGCACTCTACAACTGAGCCACATTCTCAGCCCCAGCATATTTGTTTTTTGAACAGGGTCTTGCAATTTTTCCCAGGCTAGCCTCAAACTTGAGATGCTCCTTTCCTACTCCTGAATAGCTGGAATTAGCAAAAAGAAGAAAGAGTCTGGACTGAGGGTAAATGGCTCAAGTACTTGCTTAGCAAACACAGGGCTCCAAATCCAATCCCTAGTATTGCAAAAGAAAAAATGTAGAAGAGGATTAACTTTTTTGTTTTTTGGTCAGTGCTAGAGTTTGAACTTAGTCTAGCATTTGCAAAGCAAATATTGTATCCGCCAGTGAGCCATATTTCCAATACTTTTTGGCACTAGTT